TTGAGGAACAGGATAATCAAGGTGGGTACTTTTTGTGCAAAGGAGTTGATAATTTATTTATTTATTTTTTTTTTGGGGGGGGGGGGGGGGGGTTCGATATCAGTAACTCATGAAGTTTCAGTCAAAGTCTTGCAAGATTTTGGTAACTTGTTGATGAAACATGAATTAAAATGTTTGATAATAAATCTGGAAAACATATTAGAAAGGATAGTTTTAATTTTATTAATAAGTTTACTATGCGTTTCATTTTCCTTTTAGTATAGTTGAAACCGTAAAAGATATGCTTGAAATTGGAAGGCTTTTAAATATTCTTTACCTACATGATCAACGGGTTCATATTTCTTTAATACATTATAAATTAAAAACCTTTATAAATAACGTCCTTCCGCAATGAAAAATAAATAGGGAGATGAAAAATAGTGGTCTCGTACTTTTCATTACATGCAATTGTTATACATCGAGTCTAATATATTCCTATTCTTACTAGCTTTCAGTGACCTTCACTGTGACCTATATTACTTTATCTGTCATGCATACATAATTATATTCAATCAAGGGCAGATAGGTGTATATTTTGTGTTTTTTGTAAACAATGAGGAGAAAAAAACCATGGAGTGGAATAAGTGTATCAAGTAGGCTAGGCGGTCAACAAATAAACCATAAGATATAACTTAAATTTTTAGATATGATATCTTAAGCTGTCATCTATCAATTGGCAAAGAGGAATTTCATACACTTTAGTTTTAAAATTTGATCACATTTGTATTTCTTTACATCGAACTCTTCTTCTTAAGGAGACAAAAATTGTGTAAAATGGCCACAACCAAAGCCACAGTGTTTAGTAATGTCATCTTTTCCAGTTTTCTTAATGTCGTTGGTTCTGACGTTTTCCAGGCAATAAAGATAACAACAACGTAGAAAAGCACGTAAATATTTCGGATAAATCATGATCAGAGCGGGGGTACTGTAAGGGAGAATTGTCTTACCGTCTTGTTGTCCGCCGCTTTCCCGAAAGCTAGGGGACCTTAAATCTTATTCGTCTGTCCGTCTGTCTGTCAGCTAGTCAGTCAGTCTGTCTGTCTGTCCGTCTGTCACAAGAACTTTTACCTTGCTCATAACTTTTGATTAAGTGGAGCTATGACTTTCATATTTCACATGTGTATTAATTCCTTGAAAGACCTTTTTTTGGGTACCACCAAATTGGACCTTTCTACTAGATACTAAATGTAGGGCTTTCACATAATTATGTATTATTTGTGACAAGTCCTTTCACAGAATACCAACGACCTTCTGATCTTGACCTTGGAGATTTCCGTTCTTTTGAAAAAACTTTAACCTTGGCCATAACTTTTGAACGGTTTGGGCAAGGGCTTTCATACTTCACACATGTAATACTTATTGCAAGACCTTTCTTAAGTAGCTTACACAATCCTTGACCTTGGAGTTTGACCTACCTTTCAAAACTTATCCTTGACCATGCTTTTTGAACAGGTAGTGCTGGGGATTACATATTTCACAATCATATTTCTTGTGACCCTACGTTGGGAACCAATACAATATATTTGATTTGCATTTAAGAAAAATTTAATCTTCGCTTTTTTTTCCATACTGGGTCATCAGTGTTTCACTTTCTTATAATTTTTGATTGAGATAAGATAGGGCTTTCAAATTTTACAAGTGCATTACCTTTTTGTTTAAATGTTTAAAATTCATAACTAAGGCATTATCTAATGATAAGCAAATATTTGAAAATCATGTGTTGATTAACAAACGAGATGCAGAACTTAAAGTACTTCATAATGTAAACAAGGCTCGTGCCTTGTTTTTGTTTACGTATAGAAAATATCATATTTATAACAAGATGAAATTCAGCATATCAATAGAAACTGTCAAATCTGTTTTGAAATTAACTTTTTATTGAAATTATCTACTTTGAATGAACATATATTAGTATATTAACTTTGTAAACAAAAGCATGACACGGACCTAGTTTACATAACAAAGGTTTGGACCTCTAAATCCGTCTTGTATCTGGACAACTGATCATGAAGTTCAAAATTTTTGATGATCATTAGAAAGACTTAAATATCTGTAAAAATGGGAAAATAAATTTTGAAATTTAAGCTGAAACTGTGTCCAAGCCCCTTTAAATAAGTCTAGATTATAATTTCTAACTCCATATTTAGGTTAAATAATTATTTTGTATAAAAAAAACGCGAAGCGCTTTATAAAAAAGTGTAACCGTTCCAACCCAGTTTATACCGTACAAAATGGGTAGCTATTAAATTCATTGCTTATATTTTAATTTTCGTTCATTTGATGATTAAAGCAAAAGCATTATTTATATGAAACAATTAAAGCTAAATATTGAGTTTGAGGTGTTTTGTATGTTTTCTGTATGTTTCAATGTAAAATTTAGATTACCAATTTTGTCCCACTTTACCAATTTAGTTGTACAATTTCAGCCCAGGATCAGGATGCTTGCACATAAGTTTAATGTCCCAGTGGTTCTTGAAAGGAAGTTGTTAATGATTTTTCTTAATTACTTCAATAAAGAGAACTGGTAAGGGGAATTTTAATGGGAATGTATTAGCTATACATATTGCAGTCAATAATTTACAGAACCGTATGCAAATAACAGCTTAGAAGGATATGGAAATAACGAACAGTATTCAATCTCAACGTCCATTAAACAAATATACAAAATAAGAGCAGAGCAAACACGGACCTCCAAAACATTAGAAATAAAATGGTAAAAACACTGTAAGCTATAACTTTCCAACCCCAACCCCGCTCTTATACCCCCCCCCCCCCAAAAAAAAAAAAAAATGCATGACAACTTCCAATTCTGGTGAAATGTATATTTACAGGAAATTCTTTAATTAAACTATGCGAATTATACGTACTTAAGCATATTTATCTAAATAAGTATTATTTTGTCACTAAATTAAGAATTATGTTTAAGCTCAAGAAAATCAACCCTACTGCAGAATTCAAACATAAGATAAACAATATTATTTCTAATTATCGGCTTGAGTCCTCCACTTTTTTGCAAAGATAAACATTATGTGGACATTGAAAATAGGGTTTACGGTTTTATTGGGGATTAGCTCCATTTCAATATTAGCCCCCCCCCCTGTTTAATTTGCTTTTGACGCCTATGAACTATGCTGAATGTATCGCGACTGCTTATTATAAAACTGCAATACTGCGTGGTTTATAACGTGCAAACTGCCCCAAGTTATGTTAGAATTATCGAATTATTCGAATAACCTTCATTCCTTAAAAAATTATAGGCTCGATTAAGAAACTTAATTTACATGCGTAAGTACTAAGTCAATAGTACATCTATAATCCAGATGTTCCATAGACACGAATGTTTGTCAGACTTGCTGATGATCATACCCTAGTAACGTAGCATAATATATGTAACTTTAACCTTTAAAAAATACGGAATTAAAAAAATAAGAAAGAGAATATATATCAAGGTAATGTTTGTTTCAGGAAAGGTCACGTGACACGTTTTTCACTATACTACCGGGGACACGTGTGTAAGCCCCAAGAACGAACCTTCGCTCATTATGAAAAGTTCACACTAACACACATCTTTTAATCCTAACTAACCGGGGACATTTTTTCAACATGTTAAAAAATGGATTTTTTCGGCTTTTTGGGGTAATTAGACATCCCTGATTTCGAATTTGGCGCTATTTTTAATCGGAGACAACCGGGGACGTCCCCGGTTGGAAGGTGTGTAAACAAACAAATGTCCCCGTTTGACACCTTTCACGCACGCACACACACACACCCTCCCTCACACACACACACACACACACACACATTCTTTGTGTTCCCCTGAAGTTTTTGTAATTCGAATTCCTTTATTGTCTGGAAGAATATGGCGATTTTTTTTTACTATAGTTATCATGCCTTTTTGGTACATGCAACTTTTCACCAGTGCTTCTTTAAGGTCTGTTACACTGGCAACATTCTGAAATAAATGCATTTTTTTAGCGAAAATTCCCTATTCTGTTAATTAATTCATAATGTTGTTCGCATATATTAGATAATTACCTCAATAATACATTCTACTTCCGGTCCAGAAACCCTTTGTAAAGTTATTATTGAACTTCGTCTGTGTATAATGAAGGACATATTTAATAATTAGTAATTTTCATAATGTAATAAGAAGACTAATGTTAAAAAGAAAAAAAAATAAATGCACATGCACTACAGTAAATATAATTGGTTACAACTTAACAATTAATATCAATACGTTTTCTTACACGGGATGTCAAGGAGACTTGCTGACAGGTTGTTTTGTGGATAATATTTCTTAATAAATGTTTTATTGGCCATCGTTATCAAATGAAACAGTTAAATTGAAGCATTTGATTATAAAAAACAACAACCCCAAATCTGATTGTTTCTGTCTCACATCCTTATGTCAAAGTTTTTATAACCAATGAAACGTACTCAGGAAAATACTTGTGACCCCTCTTTGTTTTTTTTTGTTGATAAGCAGTTTGTTTTGCATATTGATACTGTTTTTTTTGTGTGGGCTGCCTTGTCCGTCAATTTAAGAAAAATAGATATCTACTGATATATATAAATGGATCCATGCCTCATTTAAGATTAAAGTTCCTTAAAAGCATACACATAAGATTAAAAGACAATTATTAAAGCACACATTTTTTTTCTAGTTTCAAAATCATTAAAAGGTTCTGTACCTCCTTATCAAAGCCTCAGTTTCATTATCACTTCCTCTCTGTCCATCTTCTCAGTTCAATATGAAAGAATTATTTATCAAAATTACTTAGAAAAAAAGCAAGCAAATAAAAAAAAGACTGTCATAACACATAATGCACTTTTAATAGCCTTCAAAAGAATAAATACTGTATTCAAAGTTATCATAAAAAATATGTTATGTTTTTTCAGTATCTCTATCCTCTTACAAGCTGCGTATTATGTGCAATGCATTGTGTACAGAATACGAACGTTTATTCATCTCTTTTAAAAAATCTCTTTAGAATTTTCTCTTTGAAGACCAACATGAAAATTAATCCGGCAATAAGGCAGGCAAAGATTATTATTAGAGCTATGTAACCTCCCTCTGATGAACATTTTAGATGACTGACCATGGGCTTCACAAAAAAGGAGCTAGATCAAGGAATTCATAGAGATGTACTAGATAGAACAGAATTTCTGGATATTTTAGTATATTAAAATGATAAAATTAATATCCAATTTTATATTTAGATGTCATTTGAAAATAATGAAAAAGGTTTTTTTTTAGAAAGCTGTTTTTATCAATACTTTATATTCCCATTAGTGAACTCTTCAGAATTAGTGGCGCGTTTGGTCGTCTGATTGGGACAGCATGGCATTGCGGATAATACAAAACATGCCAGTATCAATCCTATTTTAGATGTTATATATGCATTTGTCATTCTAACTAAAGAATAGAAGAACTAAAAGACATATTAAAAGAGAGAAACCCCTAACTTTATCATCCATTAATAAAAATACGATATTTCTGATGTATGTGTATTGACTTTAAATGTATACCATTACCATGATTACGATAAATAGATACACACGATCACCAATAGTATCACTCGTGATTTGAATAAAGTCCACAACAGTAAAAACTTTCATATGCATTTTGTTAGGATTTGTTCATCGACATTCAACGTGTTGTTTACATGTTTATGTTACATTTGTCCCAGAAATCCCACGAGATTTGTACATTCTCTGACTTTTTTTTACAAAAGAGCGCACAAAGAACTATAACTCTTCGATAGTGGAAATAGAACGTATTACATTGTATTTAACAATTTTTTTTGTATATTACCCGTTTCTGATTTCTTCTATATCAGGAGCGTCTGTGAGCAGTTTATAGCAATCTTGGTCTAGCAAAACGTAGTAATAAAATATTAAACTTTTCACTCGAGATAATGCAGAAAAAAATATATAAATTCATTATTTTTATTTAAATTTGTTCTCAAATAAAGAATTTATAAATTGTGACAAAAAATTCCTCACATTTGTATGCTTCCGTAGAATTGTATCTTATTGGACAGGGTTTCGAGAAAGTAAGGCATTCCGTATCCGGGCTATTCCAAATTTTTGCATCGCGTATACTGTATCTAGCACAGTTTCCTGTTAAACAAAAAATTTCTGATTACGTACGGAAAATAAATGTGACAAATTTCATGATACATCTTATCTACAGATATTCATTGCTGTTCCTACGGAATATTCAAAATAATTGTACATGTTATGATAAATAGGTATTGTGTGCTCATATTGAAACCAAAGTGCATAAGTTAATATATAAATAATAAAAAAAGAAATGTGTGGTGCCTGCTTCAGGTACAACGTATACCTATATTATTGCTTGTAAATGTACATGTAAATACCTGTTAAAAACCATACAGGAACGCACGCCTCTAGTAGTTTTGTGACTTCTTTATTCAAGACACAGTGATACTCATACTTATAAGACGATGTATAGTTATTCAACATGTCACATTTTTTCAGCTTCGCTGCCCTATCCCAAGATCCCTTGTTAACAGGACAGGAAGTGACATATGTTATTGCTGGTAATGATGCTGGAAAGGAGATTCCCTCACAAAACATGTTCAATGTAAACTGCAAATATCGAGAGTTTTGCATGAAAACAAAACTGCAAGCATGAAATCAGTAGGGAAAAATCTAAAGCATTGCCACTGATCTCAAATGTTCATTCTAAATACAGAGTTTTAAAAAGTACATACTTACCTCTGTAGAACATGCATTACAATAAATGTATATTCTGCAAAGGTTGATTAATAACTAGAGTTTTCGAACTCGATGTGCCTAAAAGAAACCTCAAATTATCACCGAAAAATTAAGATTGAACTTAAAAGACCGTTTGACATATCCAAGGAGATTTATGTGTCAGATGAAATTCAACTGTATTTTCAAATTGATTTATTATCAAATTGAATAGACTTCTGGGAGAATGAAGAGCACTTATCTCTACATGTATCTACCATTCTTACCGTGCTGGTCATTATGACAGAAAGAATGGCTTTTATCACCATATTTGAATTAACCTTGCACAGAACCACAATACTGAAAGATAAAAAAAATGCTGAAATACAGTTCAATTGTCAGAAATATTCCTTCTTATTACTTTCTCCAATCTAAAAAAAAAAACAGTTTATGTCTGGTTTTTTCAATATATGTGGAATAATATTTTATGCAGAAAGAATTTTATTTTGATATGAAATAAGTTCTCACCAAATTTTATGATTTAGAATTGATTAGAATTAGATTAGAATTGATTATCTTAAACGTAAATTATTATTTGTTGTAGTCAAATGCGTGCAATGTAACCCAGTTCTCTTCAGTAATGTTCTTGTTATCTAAAGTGTACCAAAGCTTGAAAGGCTCATTCCAGTTTCATGATATGAGACTCGAAATTAAAATTGTGGGTTTCAAGATCCGAACTAACCAATCAAAAGGCGGTTTAAGATTTAATTACTCCACTTGACAATAACGAAATCGTTGAATATGTTTGTACTACCGAAAAGGTCATTTTATATTTTAAATTACAATACAAGTAATGTTTATAGCCGATCCTTGGTATTTCTTATCAATAATTGTGTTCTCCCTCATCAATGTCATGAAATAATTTTTCGACCTACTAAGTTATAATTCCGCCATTCAAAGGAATGACCATGAAATATTCTTTTTACGTATTTATTAATTTGTTTAATTGGGAATATTTATTTCAGAAAATTTTTTTTTTAATGTAACAAAAATTATTTTTATGATATTGTTTGATCCATCTGACTTTTTCTTATAAATTGCATTATCATTTAAGCAAAGGATCCATTTATCTTAAATATATTTTAATACAAATATAGAAAGTAAAAACCTAAAATTAATAATCAAATATTAAATATATCTTTTAATCATTTAGTTTGGATTTAAATTCTCGAAACTCGTATCTCGAATTTCGAGTCTCTTATTTTCAAAACTCGAATCTCGAAGAAAAAAAACCTTTGGGCTTTCATATATAAATGTCCTAAAGAACTTCTTTTCTTTAATAGAAAAGGTATTTGTTTTCAGAGTATTTTCTATAGGTATATAGAGATTTGGGAATAAAAAACAATGTGTTGTTGTTTAAACTTAACAATTATGGGCAATTTCAGGCTACGAAAAAATAAAAAAAAATATTCACGAAAATGTGTTGATCTATAATCTTGTAATAAAAAAGTTACGATGAAATGTCTACATATTTTTGAATGACCCTCGTATTTAGCTTGCACGATTATAATTTTGATGATCAGATGCAATCTGAATGATTGAATATAGTTTGAAATGTAACAAATATCATAATTATCAATTTTTAACTTATTATCATTATGTGAGATTGCAGTGTCCCTTTAACAATTCAAAACACGTAGATCATCGGCGGATCTAAGAATATTGAAAGGGGTAACATGTTGGGGTCGAAGTAGGGGACCACAGACGCATTAAAATAATCTTGATTTATTAAATCTTATGTGTATTTTTGACACAAAAAAGAGGGCTGTGCAACCAGGGCCCACTCTTAAATACTCAGCCGAGTTGCAGTTAAAAAGAAAGCTATTTTTAAGCACACTAATCTGAAAACAATTCAGGAAAGGTATGCACGAGTCACATATGGCATTTAAAATAATTTATGTTGAAGAACCGTAGAAGTAAGATAGCTTTCTTTTCTTAGCAGATAAAAAAGAATAGGTCACTTTTGTTTCATAAAAACATCAACCAACTATACCATTGAGTGCGTTTACAATGTACCTGGTATGGAAATCCCCAAAAAATAAAGACAAGAACCAACTTGAAATTTAAATAATATGTTCGCAGTAATAAAAGAGTAGGGACTTGAAGCATCCGAATAAAATACTGCTAAATTATTAAATAAATATATATGAAAATGAGTTCGTCTGTTTCATATTGTATTAATAAGTATTTAATGAAGTTACTTATTCATTCAATAATTATTTACTTATCTATTCATTTACTGTTCGTTTTCTTTTTGGCACACTTTTATTGAACTCAATCCTGCAGAGTTTGTAAACAAATTTATACAATTCCCTGGCTTTTCATTGGCTTATAATTCCTAAGATTTCATCTCCCCTATTTCAAGTGTTTTTAGGGCTGCCTCTGTCGTGGCAACCTCTCGTGAATGAACCAAAATTTCAAGGTCAGCTTCTAACTTTGCGTTTTCTTTTTCCATTGCAGCATTCTGGACAGCTATTCGTTCTTTTTTAGCTGCCTTCTGTCTCTTTTATTCAGATTCTTTTTTTTTTTTTTTACAAATTAGAATAATTGAGTTATAATTAAATTATAAGAGTAGGGCCCTGTAAATTATTTTTTATAATTTGAATTTTATTGTCCTTTGATCTTCACACTGATAGTTTCAATTTTGATTCATAACACAATATGTAAACATACATAATTATGGATATACTGTACAAATTTATATTTCAATTAAAATTATGTATTTTACGTTCATTTAATTTAAAGCAATATGAGCTGCATGTTTGACATTGGAAATTTTTATTGCAAATTTGTGATTAACTACTGTAGAAATACTTTTTTCCGCGTGGTATTAATTTACGCTATGTACGCGGTCATAAATTTTCCGCGGAAATTTGTCCAAGCGTACTAAATGTAAATGTAAGGCATATAGCGACAGTCTAGAAAATCCGCGTATTTTTCTACCCGCGGATTAAACAGAAATTGAGATTCCGCGGAATTATGATCCCGTGGAAAGAAGTACGTCTACAGTAATTAAATGACAGAAAAATAAATCATTCATAAATTTCTGTTGTTCATATTCGCAATGGAAAATTTATTTTTAGCTGTGATTGAAGCAAAATTGTCATCCTGTACAATAATGCTTTCTTATATAAAACTGTATGTTCGGTTGTACAGAAATATTTCTTCTGAAACATTTTTAAACTTTATTTTGGGCTTATTAGTCATAAGGGTTTAAATTATATACAAATTAATCATAATAGCACATTTTACCAGCAAAATAAAATTTTCAAAGATACAGCTCATATTGCTTTAATAACAAAGACAATGACAATGTAATACACCCAATACACAAATTAAATAATCACTCACTGATTCCCAGCGATACTACCTGGATTGAGCAACACATGTATAGAGTGGATTTTTCTTGTCTTCTAAGATCCTGTTAAGGTATATACCAATTTATTATCTTTTCATCCACTTTGTTAAAAATTCGGTAGTTCTTTTTTATTAATTGAAATGTATTTGACTTTGTAGATCCACTTTATTCAATATAAGTCAGTATGCTATTTTAACTGAGATCAGTGAAATCGCTTATGGACCTCTCTTCTTTAATATGAGAGGATGCCTTATTTTTTAATCAGAAACGTTCATCTCAATTTTTTCATCGATTGTAAATCAACTCACTTTGATTGCAATTGAGAGAGATATGATAGGGTGCGTTATTTATGTAAATGCATACACATTTTAGTAGGAATTATAATTTCGGCACAATCCCTCTACCTGTCATCTCCTCGCTCTTGATGAACCGTATTTTTTAAATCCCTGTCTTCTACTCGTCGATTCTCTGTTACATTACAATTTTTCTTACCAATTCGATTGGCGTAGTTTGGAATAAATATTGAGACATGATAGGCTCTTAATTACAAATTGTTTACAATTGATCATCATTAACTTCCTGTTATTTAATTATATATAAACTACTAGTAATATAAAACTAATCAAAATACATTAACTTTATATATGCAGTCTTAAATCAATTTTTTACTTTCAAGGCATATTTTAAATAAGTACTAGATATTGGATATGAGAATTCAATTCAACCTTAAGTAATAAGTTTAGTTACTCGGGAGAAATGTAGACTACTGGGTTCTTTTCATCTACTTAAAACCCAAAGACACTCTGCAATTTTTGCAATGAATTCTGCGAAGTAAGACAGAGAAATTAAAAGAACTGATCATTTAATTCATAATGAATAATAAAATTCAAATACTTTTTTCTGCAAATAAACATGTATTTATTTCTTAATAACCACTATATGTCTTTTAAAGGTTACAATAAGATAAATGAAAGAGGTCAAGATATTTAACAAAACATTTATTTATTCTATTACTGAAGAACAATGTAATATAAAAACACATGGCAATGCATTAAAACTATTAAAAACATAAATTTACATAATCAGAAGAAAAATATATTGACAAAAAACTATATTTAGTTTATGCCCTGCTTTTATGTCGATCAATTGACACTCCTCCCTTGTTCAATTTCATATACACGTATCAAAATAAAGTAAAGACTCTATGGTTTCATTTAAAAAAATGAGAAAAGATACTTGACATTTATTGGAAATCAGGCGTAGTGCAAATGCAATGTTCTAAAATTTTGCAGAAAATGGCGTATTTGACAACCTTCAGAATAAAACTAAAATATGAGCACAGTCCTCGATCCAAAAAATAAAAAAAATGTTTATGTTCTTCACTGAATGATCTTACAGTCTGTTATCTTATGTTATTGCATATTTTGATCAGTGGTTTTGCTATGAATGACATTTTGAAAAAGAATCTTTCATTTCGTGGCCATTATAAAGGAAACTAACATGACATGGGGAAAATGACGCATTTTATGACGTCATAACACATTGGCTAGAGAGAAAATTAAGTCATAAGCAGTTTTGACTTAAGAAATTCACAGAGCCAAAAAGATCCTTGCTATTTATGTGTTCATTTCAATATGACTGGAATGTTCTAGTCTGTTCTCATTGGGATGGGAATCTTGGTCGTTGGTATCTTCTTTTATTTCGCTGTATTCATCGCTTTTCTTAAGAGAGCCAAACTCAACAGATTCATAGTAATTAGCCGATGAGGAGCACCTAGTACTGACTGAACTTTTCCGAGCTTCCATCTTGATAGAACTTTTTTGAACTGGTTTGCTGGGACTACGACATGGGGCACTGTACTGTTGACTGGACAAAATAGCATCTCGTGTATCGATGTATTCGCCAGCTTCGGTCTGTTGATCGGCAGATGGACAATTGTCATTTGTTGATTTCATGCGTCGACAGATTGCAATTATGAGAGCAAATGAAATGGTAACGACTGCCGCGAGAGATATAGATAATATTAGAACCAGTATAGGAACGACTTTAACTTCTTCCTTCGAAATTGAGGAGAACATTGATGTGGATGTTTCAACACCAAAACTAGCTGTAGCTAAAACATACATATTAGATTATTCACATAATATGTTGGATTGTTCAAGTAATATGGATATAAATCATTTAATTCTTTTCATATAATTTAAGTATTATTCTACAGGTTGTATTTTATATGAAATATATTAGCTTTTAACATTTTTCTTTTCTTTTCATAATTAATCCTCTTTCTGCAATACTTAAACTGAACTTCTAATGTGCATACGAGGGTTGATCCAAAAGTAATGTCACAGTGTCCATATCTTTTATATTTGGCGTTATATTATCAAATACAATATACCAAAAGATGCACAAATATAAATCTAATTAACATTGAAATTTTAATTTAATAATGTTTATTTGAATTTATTTTATAGATGTTTAAAACATAGAGTATAGGGGGTGTCGTAGCGTCACAACGGAACGTCACGATTTTAAGTGTATTTTTTCTTAGAATGAAAAAGACAAACACATTAAAGATTCTAAAAAAACACCTAATCTCCCATTTTTTTTTTCAAAGAAAACCACACACACACAGTCCTTGTCATTTTCTAGTCATTAAATGAAAATTAAATGACGGTATTGGTTTTTGTGATCATAAACATTGTTGTTTTACTCTGCTGAATTCAATATAAAGATTGTCGAAATGGGGAAAAAGGCTCGACGTGTTGTAATGCATTTTTGCATCAAAATATGGGAATCATCACTTAAGCGACATTTCCGTTAATCAATCAGACTTACAGAATAAAGTATGAAAATAAGAGACATCTAAATAGATGGTTTCAGCAATTTTAGGCGGGTGATTGGTTACTGAATGATTAGCAGAGGACAAGAAGACTGAAAGATACGAAATCGGACGGAAACGTTCAATGGTGTCTGACGTTGTCAAAAAAGACAGTCAGATAGAGTGACATGTGACTTTTTAAGTTTGTCTTGTGCTACAGTAACTGTTAAAAAGATGACAAAGTTCTTAATTATGAAAAGAGTGAGTGTATATAGTACCAAGAATTCTTAAAGAAAGTGGATTTGGTGAAAGTGTTTGCGAATCACACATATTTTTTAATGAAACGAAGGGGAAACGCTTAAAAGTATGACGGTTCCTATCCGTCATATGACGTTATATTTAGGTGCGGCGACTACCATAAATGCGCATTGTTTAAAATCCGATATTTTCAAAAGTATACATCATATTCCTTTGAATTTTTCAGGCCTGATTTGAAATAAATAAAGCTTCCATCTTGTATAATTTTGTTGCTTTACGTCGATTTATAGCAATTTCATCAAAGTTGTGACATTACTTCTGGATCAACCTTCGTATTTACAATATGAATGTTTGTTTTGTTTTAAGACTTTTGTGATTTGAATTTATCACACTAATTTTATATTTTGATCAATCAACATTTTTAAACACACATATGGTTTATCTTATTTTGAGAGGAAGTTATGGAAAGAGAACGAAGAAAATCTATTCCGAGATAATATTTATTAAAGATGTAAAACTATAACCGCTTGCCTTCCTTTACTGGACAGCCGGTAATGTAATGACAGATAGATTCATCACACTGGCAGATTTGTTGACAATGTTTTCCATACACTGGTACTCTGCATTTAAACATACATCTTTCTCCATAGTAACCTGTCCTACATCCATCTTAAAAGAAAAAGAGGTTAATGTGTATATTACTGATTTTACCATAAATCGAATACAAAATCTTTGCCTATACCACATTTGCAATTATTTAATGATAATGTAAACTAGAATAAAATAAAATCTACAAAGAAGTTAAATTGTTTGGCTTTATTGGTGCTGGAGGAAGGGGTTTTATCTAAGAAATAAGGTTTCATTTTTTGAGTTTTATTGGGATGTAAAACGGGTTGGTCACGTGATCAAATCCCATAAAGCCCGAAGGGCTCTATGGAAGATTTGATCATGTGCCAACCCGTTTATATCCCAATAAAACTAAAAAAATGATACCTTATTAGTTATATTTACATTTGTGACTTATTCATACTTTAAATTTGCCTGATTGTGACTTTTAACATGTAAAATGCATTATTTTTCAAACCCAACGGCATGTATGTAATCCACTGAACGCGCGTTGACCCTTTATAACGTCACTGAGAAATTACATCGAACGTTTATTCATACGAGCATCTATGACCTCTTGACCCCGTACCTGTATTTATACAGTTATAAAAACGCTTGCTTTCAGTAGTGTTATATAAAGGAAAACATTTCCAAATGTAGATATTTAATTTTAAAATCAATTCACGACACTACTTTCTCACAGAAAATTAAAAATGAAATAAATTATCAAAACAAATCTCTTTTTTCCGCCTCCTTCCTTCCGATCTACTATAAATATTACCATATTTTGAGGTTAACGACTAATCTCAATGATATCCATATAATTTAGAACGTGTTCATGTAATTGTACTTAAAAAAAGAGAGTTAGGGAGTGGTACGGAAGAAACATACATCGTGTTTTGTTTTCGCGTACTTTTTAATAACGAAATATACATTACCCGAGACAGAATAGCAGCCTGTTGCGATGTCACATAGTCTCTCTTCGCAATCACATTTCCCTTGGCACTCTAAACCATAGTTAGGGTACGGACATATCTGTGTACAATTCCGACCTAAATATCCTGGTGAACACACTACAATATAGAGAGATTAAATACATCACGAGATATCCAGACTGATACGATTTAAAATAATGTTAAAAATGATGGAATCAATTTAGCTATATTGCAAATGAAAAAAAAATTGATACTGTTATGTGAAGATAAGATCATTTTGCGTTTTATTATAAATTATTGTAGTGAAGAAAAAATTATGCCCCTGTCTTTCGATTTTTAATTTAAAATGTTTTTGTTATATATATATATATATATATATATATATATATATATATATATATATATATATATATATATTGTATATAAGCCTTAAAGAATTATAAATTATCCAAAAAATCTTAGATTTAAGTTAACAGTTTTACTAAAAACACGTATGCAATTACATATGAATTACATACCGAGTATGTATAAAACTTAGTGTAGTATCACCTTGCCTTTTTGTAAGAATGCATTCATCTAGATAACTCCATCGATTTCTCAGACAATCAGTCAAGTACTTATCATACAACAATGAATGATATTTAGAATACATAGTAGAAGATACTTAATTTCACATTTTCATCCTCTTTGATGTAGATGAAGAATTAGATAAAATTACCTTTACATTCTGTAAAAAATTCGTCTCATTCAAGACAGCAATTGTCAATTCTAAAACAATATATAGCTGCTTCTTTAGATAAAATTAGATGATAAGCTTGCAATGTATTAATTCATTCAATCAAAAGAGTTTAATTAAAAACAATTGGTTTAATCCAAACCGTCTTACTTTTCGCAATGTTCCTCATTGTAAGCAGCAAGTACCAAGACACAGATTATTAAAATAAATACACAACAAACAAGATCCTCCATGGTGCCAAATGTAATTTATTTGCGAGGCATTGTGTCTAATAGGCACCGGAACTTTCAAGAGTCCGTTATTCTTTTGAGACCGATCACTGTTCATTCCGTATTTTGATACAGATACTGAGTACATCTGTTTATTAATATTATGAACTATTTTTCTCACAGGAAGAAAGACAAGTAAACAAGATAATAAAGTTTTAAGAAATATACATTATTTACTTTTCATACAATTAAATGTTCGAATAAGTAAATGGTTTATGACACTTTACACGTACATTACGCATAAAGGATTAAAATTTTCTTTTATGCCTTGTCCCTCTGTCTGAATTATTCAACTTTAGCCAAAATTAAAACATAAAAAATAGAATATAGATATGAAATTAAAATCAAAAGAAAAACTGAAATTTAAAAAAATGTTTATTAATTGATTGAATATTTAGGATTTACCATTTACGTTCGCACTTATTCAGAATTATATCTCATTAAGAAGGGAGTCAATTAAAGTTTACTTTCCATTTCATTTGTCTCAAGTTGTATCTGACTGATAGGGGGCACAACAAAAAATCTAAAGAGAAAGAGTCCTATATCGTTTAAGTAGCGTACATGTGTATCCAACACAAAGCCTTTCTTTTTCCGTTTTATTGGTATGGTTTTAAAAGTTTCAACACTGATGTCGTCTAAATTAGTTCCCTTAATCCTCCCTAACAAAAAAAAATACTATAGAAAACTATATTTAACTATTAAATTTTAAAACTTTGATTTACTATGGTGATAACTTTGACACTTTAAAAAACTTTGGCGAAAATTTTGATACTTTGAAAAACTTTGGCGAAAACCTTGACACTTTGAAAAATTTTGACGAAAACTTTCATACTTTGAAAAACTTTCATTTGGCAAAAACTTTGACACTTGGAAAAACTTTGGCAAAAACTTTGACACTTGGAAAAACTTTATCGAAAACTTTGACACTTTGAAAACCTTTGGCGAAAACTTTTACACTTTGAAAAACTTTATCGAAAACTTTGACACTTTGAAAAATTTAATCTAAAACTCTGACATTTTGAAAAACTTTATTGAAAACTTTGACACTTTGAAAAAAACTTTGGCAAAAACTTTGACACTTTGGAAAACTTTGGCGAAAACTTTGACACTTTGATTTACTTTATCAAAAACTTTGATACTTTGAAAAACTTTACCGAAAACTTTGACACTTTAAAAAACTTTATCGAAAACTTTGATACTTTCATAAACTTTGGCGAAAACTTTCACACTTTGAACTACTGACGAAAACTTTTACACTTGGAAAATATTTGCAAAAACTTTGACAATTTGATAAACTTTGACGAAAACTTTGACACTTTGATAAACTTTTACGAAAACTTTGACATTTTGATAAACTTTGATAATCTTTGACGAAAACTTTGACGAAAACTTTGACACTTTGACACTTTGAGAAACTTTGGCTAAAACTTTGACACTTTGATTAACTATAGTTAACTATAGTAATCTATAGTAAACTATAGTTTTTTTGTAAGGGCTAGAATAATCCTTGAGAATTTGTTTTGTTATTCTATTTAAGAAAATTAGAAATCAATTCGAAAGAATACTTTTCTTTCCTTGATTTTTTCAGTATATTATGAATAAAATTTCTACTTGTTCATATATGGAGAAGAATAATGTGCTTTTTTTCAGCATTGAAAGGTTTTTTTTTTGTTCCTGGATACGTCTTTTCAGTTAATCATACATGTTACTTCCTACTAGCTCGTATACAGAAAAGGATTGCATGCTTGTTTTAGCATGGGAAACGACCTCCTTTGTTATCAAATTCCAATTCGTATCTTGAGCGTCTTCTGAAGATTTGGATGTTTTCGTTTGGATGCAAAATTTACGAAGCGCAAAACCCGTGCATAGTAAAGCAATGATAACACAAACACTTATTATTGGCAGGATCACCTTTGTATGAGAAACACCTTGTTCACCTTGTTTATTTCTGTTGTCTGAAATTATATTTAAAATATACTTGTAAAAATTTCCCCACTTTTATTATTTTAAGTATTTAAAATTCTTAAAATTTATTAACTAGTTATTCACAATTTTGACTTAATTTTTCGATGATTGCCTGTTACGACCAAAAAAAATTGAAATCGAATGTGTAATTACTCATCCATGACCCTTTTTGTTAAAAAGCATGAAGTGCGGGTTTCATATGTGCGGGTTTCATATGTTTTCAGGTTTATCTTCCATTCATTTAAATTACCATGTGTTCTCCATTTAGTTGTTTAGGAAAAACAGAAAAAAGCTTGTCTAAAATGCCGTGTATGTCCGAACGACAATATGCAACTGAAGTTGCCATGGTCCAAGCTGGTATTAGTAAAGGAAAGTTGTATATCCTTCGTTTGTATTTGTTTATTTTATGTAAAACGGTTAAAAATACCGTCAGGAAGATGCACAAAGCTTACTTGTATTCCTTATAATCATTAAAAATTTCTAGATTTTCAAGAAATACCACTTAATCACCCTAGAGTTTAACCGGAAATTCACTCAAACCGGAACCGGAAGTGCCCATGGTCAAGGCATACACATGTACTGTAACGACATATCAACAGGGCTACTACATAAGAATTACTAACTATTGTGTAAGGAACCTTTCTGCACGTGCAATTGCTCTGCACTCATTAAAAATTAATTCAAGTCTCCTTAATTATCCAAATTATTAGAAACAAACTGGAAGAGTGGGGAATGCGTTTAAGAAGACCTTGTGTACTGTCGGATTAATATTGGGTACAAACAATTTCGGTAAGCTTCAATGTCATCCAAATCTCAACCCTATAGAACATGAACGGGACAAGATGGAAAAGAGATTGAGCGCTTTTCCAGCAGCAGAATCTGGCGGAAATATACAGGACGACCTAGTCCATTCATGGAATAACCTTCCATAGAGATTTTTCTTTAATTGTGTGAACTCTTTGAGAAGCAATTGTCTTGATCTTAATTTGTTTGCACGGAGGATAAAACCAGTATTGAACGTTGCGAATTTTTAATTCTAGGGTGCTTTCACTCTTCTGCATTTTGTGTTAAAGTCCTTCAATATAATTAGATTAAGTGAAAAAAAAATATTTTGCTTCTTTTTATCCTGTATAGTTTTCAAATGAATTATTTAATATAAAAGAATTGTAAAACAAAAACTTACGTGGGGACTTAGAAATTTTGATTAGTATACATAGTATGTAATACCAGTAAAACACGCTGAAGAAAAGGTATATATCAGAGAAATGCTGATTAAAATATGAAAAGTACTCAATCATTATTAACAACTCTTTTTTGATTTAGATACAAAATTATATGTTTGAAATGAACTTTCAAGCGATTTAAAGTGTTTAATTTATTATTGTCACACACCTTCAAACTCCTTCCTACCCCGATCCTCTCACATACACAAACACAAACACATAAACCCCTAAACCCTACGTCAAATCTTCCTCTACTTACCTGTATCTGTGCATCCAGTAATTGGATCACATTTGCTAGCATTGTTACAAGAACACTCTTCCTGACAAAATCTTCCATAGCTTGGATACAGACAAAGTGTTTCACAGTTTAAACCTTCGTATCCGATTGGGCATTCTGTTTATTTTGGAACAAAATAAAAATAATTTTTAATCTAATAAATACTGTAAGCTGAGTAAATGAATGTAAAAAGGCATTTGCTAATCTTTTCCCCGTAAAATAAATTTTTTTGTTTGTGTAATTAAGCATTACCAAGGTAAATTTCGACTTTTATCTGTTAATCGGGATGTCCGACTTCCTATGTAATATTAATTTGAGATCAAAGGTAATATTTATAAAGCAGATGTTTGACTCACTTGTTAAATATTAAGCTTACTATCTTTGCAATGAAGTCGCTTGCTTTTAAAACATTGTTCCGATTGAACACAAATGAAAATTGCTCAATTAAGAAATAAATTCGTTTCTTGAAGATTCATATGGACATGAGCTAATACGCTTCACGCCGGGATATTTCATGAAACAAATCATTCTTCGTGTTTCGTGGGAAAATAAACGGTCTTCTAAATTGCAAAGAAGCCTAAAGGAATTTTTTGGGGAAACGTAAATATTGAACAATCAACAGTTATAATGAAGAAACAATTTGATTTTTTCGGATGTTGTCTTGTAAAACTTAAATACTGTTGTCTGACATAAGCTTTATCAAACATACATTTGGTCAATATAATTTACTTATATTCTTGTATTCATACATCTTACCAACACATTCCGAAGTATTATTGTCCCATTTATAACCCGTGCAACAAGTCATTTTACCATCTGGGCTTTAGAGATAAGAGAGAAAAAAGGAAATTGAAAACAAAATTGTATGCATAATTTATAAAAATAAAAAAAAAAAATAAAAAGATAAAGCTTTAAACACTTTAATAATTAGGACTATTCAGTTTTCATTTAGCAATTAAAAGTTGTTTATGTATTAATAATAATAATGATAAGCGTCCTTTCTCATGCTAACCTTGCACAGTTTTGGCAACATGATGGATATGCCGCAGACAGGATTAAAATTATGATTTCCAACATGACTAGCCAGTATAAGTAAATCAAACGTGTATTCACTTTTCTGCCCAAAGTATTATTTTATAATAACAAGAACTAAAACATTTCGGTTTAATGATCTGAGAAGAAGCTGATGACTTTATACAGGAAATGTTACTTTTCTAAACTTATATCATATACGGTCTAATAGGTGTTTATGGCTTTTGAATTGAAGAGTTTTATTATAAAATCAAGTTCAAAGATTATGCTATTTGATATCACTTCGTATTTTCCTCTGTAACTGCTGTAAATGATTTCCTTATTGCACCTAGTTTTCTGTTCCAATTTGCGTATATCTGTTTTCACCGTTTCTAATTGGGGTCATATCAGTCTCCTACATGGG